CCTTATCTAGCTAGCTATGGCTAGAGAGCAGACAGCGAATATTTACTTATTTCATTATTGCTACATTTATCTCTTGCCTTTACCCCAAGGGCAAAATAGCATTTCCTCCTCTAATTCCCCCCCCCCCCAACAGTAATTGGTTGGGGCTGAGCTTGAGCTGAGAGAGGGTAAGAGACTCTTAGTCACGGAGTGATTTTCCAGGAATGAAGGGGAAGTTGTAGTGGATTTCTCCATTTGCAGTCCAACCTCTTAACCATTATACAACTCTGAGCTCTAACACAGATGTTAGCTCAGCTGCTAGTGGATGATGTTTATTTATTTACCATCAAGTATTATGTCCCCTACTCAAATACCTGTAGACAGCAGGTATACCCGAAGATATTTTCTTTGGTATCTATCAATTCCATTGCTCCTATTATTCTTAGTAAAATAATTTTAAAATGGAATCAAATTTAAAATATTGCCTTTGGGCATTATTTAAAAAAATATTTTAAGGAAGATGGCTGGCTATCACTGACTATCAGTTCGAAAATGTATCCACTTGTCAGGAACAACCCCACCCCCCAATAAAATGCAGTGATAGGAAGCATTTAAGAATAATACTAAAGCAGGAAGCCACTTTGCCTGTTTCCTATCATCTAAATGGGTACTATTTGATTAACTTGCCAAGTCCTGGAGTAACTACCGTGTTTCTCTGAAAATAAGACAGGGTCTTATTTTCTTTTGACCTCCAAAATAAGCACTTGGCCTTATTTTTGGGGAGGTATTGTTATTTTTGAGGTGCAGGAGGCAGCGAGTGTGGTCACCTCATGGCTGCTGCTGTATTGCAATATTTTTGGGGAGGGCTTATTTTAGTGCATGCACTCAAAAGCCCAATTGGTTTTATTATCCGGGGAGGTCTTATTTTCAGGGAAATAAGAGTATTTATGAGAAGATCCAGTTCAGATAGTCCTTGACTTATAACCAGAATTGAGCCAAAATTTATGTTGCTAAGTGAGAATTTGTTAAGTGAATTTTGCCCCATTTTATGACCTTTCTTGCCATGATTGTAAAGTGAATCAGTGCAGTTGATGTTTGCAACGTGGTTGTAAAGTGAATCTGACTTCCCCATTGATTTTGTTTGTCAGAAGGTTGCAAAAAGGGATCACATGACTTTGGGAAACAGCAACAGTGATAAGTATGAACCAGTTGCCAAGCATCTGAATCTTGATCACATGATCATGGGGATGCTACAAGGATTGTAAGTGTGAAAAGTCATCATGTTGCTTTTTTCAGTGCCGCTGTAACTTTGAACGGTCATTAAATGAACTGCTGTAACTCGAGGACTACTTTTATATCCTTTCAAAATACCCACGTGGCCACCAGTCTAGAAAAGTTTTCTCACTGGGAGCACTTAGGTACCGTTGGTAAGCCTGTGAATTATTATTAAATAATGAAAAACAGAAAAAGAAATTTAAAAAGAAAAAAAACCTACTATTACAGGATGGTAAAGGGCTACATCTTCCAGAGATAAAGGCATAGCAATAGTGTCCTTCTCACCAACAGCAGATGATTTCTCATCTTCAATCCTGTTGGGCAAAATAAAACTGGAAACCAATAGCTGTATTAGCAATTATATCTTCGGTTAGCATCCATTTATCATGGCATCATGGTATAAAGTAGCTGATAGAAGCACTGAGACTTTGTGTTCTAGACATCCTGTTTTTTACATAATAGGCAGCCTTCAATTCATGAACACAACTAAGACCAGAATTTCTATCGCTATTTCTTGTGGTCATACAGTGTGATGTCACATGACTGCATCACTTAGCAATGGCAATCTTGGCACACCCTGCTGTCATGGTTTAAAAAGTTCCACCAGTCGTTTGCTGAGGAGGACCCATCCCAACTGAAGCCATTCTCAGCTTAGTTCCTTCTCCAACTCCCTGCAATAACCTATCTCCTTCCTACCTCTGCCCTTTGGGCCATTCTGCAACTTGCCCTGCAGACTGGCGAGCAACCTCTGAACCACACAAACTTAGCGCTGCTTGCCATGTTGTGGACTCAGAGAGGCATGTTGGCGTGCCACAGTTCTGAATCTCAAGCCACAGTACAAAGCCACAGCCAATCCTGGAAGCCTCAGCCACCTTAACAGCATGACAAAAAGCCATAGGGCCCCAGGAAGCCCCTGCAGAGCACTGCAAAGCTGTAGCATCCGGAGAAACCTCAGCTATCCTAACCCAGAGTCACCCTTGCCATCCTGGACAGTGAGGCCTTTATGTTCTGCGCTCTACAGTAGTGGTAGGATTCAAAATATTTACTACCAGTTCTGTGGGCATGGCTTGGCTTGGTGGGCGTGGCTTGGTGGGCCTGGCAGGAGAAGGATATTGTAAAATTTCCATTACCTCCCCACTCCAGGGGAAGGATACTGTAAAATCTTTGTTCCCTCCCCACTCCAGGGGAAAGTTACTGCAAAATCCCTATTTTCTCCCGATCAGTTGGGACTCAGGAGGCAGAGAATAGATGGTGGCGGGGCCAGTCAGAGGTGGTATTTACTGGTTCTCCGAACTACTCAAAATTTCCGCTACCGGTTCTCCAGAACTGGTCAGAACCTGCTGAAGACCACTTCTGCTCTACAGCCCCAGTTGACTTTCACCATCTTCTTGCTCCCACTCCTGATGAGGTCTACCTCCCCCTGCCCTTTGCAAGAAAGCTATTGATCACGTGAGGCTATCTTTCCCAGGTCTTATGAGGAAGCTGTCATGGATGGCCTAGGGAAGAAAGCCTTGTGTGACCACCAGTTGCTTCACAAAGGGCCACAGCAGGCTTGTTTGATCAGCATCAGGAGCAAGAAGAAGGCAAAGGTCAGGTGGGCAACAGTGGTCTTGGAGTGTAGAGGACCAAAATGGCATAGACAGGAGGAAAATAGGCAGGTAGGGGAAATTGGGGCACTCCTACAGTCATAAGTGAAGGTGGACTGCCAAGTGCCTAAATTTTGATCACCTGTAACTTCAAACGGTTGCCTAATAAATGGTCATGAGTCGAACACTACCTGAGAGTTGCTTATAAATTCAAAAAGCTAAAGTTAATCAGCATACAGTAAATACATATTGCAGCAAACTTTAGAATTTCCATCCCCAAGTAAATGAGAACTATTAGTGCCCCTTCACTGTTTAGTCATGCCAGCCACATGACCACGGAGATGTCTTTGGACAGCGCTGGCTCTTTGGCTTTGAAACGGAGATGAGCATCCCCCCAGAGGTGGTATTCAGCAGTTCTGGAGAACCATTAGTAAAAATTTTGAGTAGTTCGAAGAACGGGTAAATACAACCTCTGACTGGTTGACCCCATTTATTCTCTGCCTCCCAAGTCCCAGCTGATCGGGAGGAAATGGTGATTTTGCTGTAACTTTCCCCTAGATTGGGGGGGGGGATGGAGATTTCACAGTATCCTTCCCCTGCTACGCCCACCAAGCCATGCCCACAGAACCGGTAGTAAAAAATATTGAATTCCACCACCGCACTGCCCCCTAGAGTCGGGAACAACTAGTACATATGTGTGAGGGGAACCTTTACCCTTTACCTACTCATAATGTGGATTACTCAAACCATTTCTAATTTAGAAATTAGGGTAGGTAATTTTGTTCAGCTTCATAAACAAATCACTACTATATGAAATCTAGCATCTTCATTGGCAATGATTCTCTAAAAACAGTAGATGAGTATTTTTTTGCATTGAGCTTTACAAATACTATAAAACAATTATTGAATTTTGCTTCTCCCAAATTTTATACCATAGAGTAGGAAGCATAGCCACTGGGTTCATTACAGGATATAGCCAATCAGCAGCCTTAAAAACAAAAACTTACCTATCAACATGTTTCTCTTGCTTCAACATTTTCTTTTCTTTTGGAATTCTGAGCACTTTGGGAGAGTCTTTCTGATGCATTTCTTGCTGCTTTGCATGAATTAAACATGGAACTGTGTTTTCTTCTATTACCATCTCATTACATTTCAGTCTGGAATGTTCATGACCATTTGGAAACAAATACTCCATCTTGAAATCACAAAAACAAAGTGTTTCCCCAACAAAAAAAGTCATTTGAAACAATTTCACCCTATTAAATATGAACTTGACCATTTAATATAGTTATTGTTTAGTAAGTTTGATGCGAATTTAAATTTATGTTGTAGCAATTTTATTGGAAATATCTGTGTTTTGATATTCTTTTTGTCAATGGATTTGTGCAATGATCAAAAATATATGAATGCTACATTTTTATTTCTAGTTTTCATTTTTTATTGCTGTATATCAATAGGAATGTGCAAATCATGAAAAAGTATCCTATACAAAGATCAGATAAAGTAGCTTTCAAAACTTTTAAAACAATATATAAATCATACTAATCATATTGCTGTTATGTTTGCAGAAAAAGTGAATTTTTAGGGAGGGTTCTATGTCTGTCCAGTTTATTTATCTATGTCTGTCAAATACTATGTTACAGGTTTCTTTCTAGGCATTTTTCAAAACTCACATACTTCAAGTCATAAATTTTACCCTTTACCAAATTTTCAAAATATTATTGGCACGGAAGTATAGACTACAACTGCCCGCTAACCTGGAATAATTGATCACATTGTTGTGATTGGAAAACATACAGATAACTTTAAATTTAAAATATACTGACTTCCAAAAAGCATGGCCAAAGACAGAAAATTGTGAAGACCATCTAGTGGGAGCTTTAGTCTGATGTCTTCATCAGAAATGAGCATTTTTACTTTTCTCTTAGCATATAATTGGTTAACAGATGAGCTTTTGAATATTCAAAACCAAATTCTGAATATAAAATATCTCCATTAATACATTGTCATTTTATGCAAATGATTTTTGTTATATTTGTTATATTTCATTTAACATCAAAGACAAAAACAAAAATTATTGGGAAGCGTGTATATTAATGATAATCTACAACATGGCTACAGGAAACATGTAAATGTAAAACTTAACACTGAGAGAACAGGATTGATACTAACCAGATCATGGATACTTTGCCCTTTCCTGACATCTGAAAACTGACCATTTTGCTTTAGGAGCCTGTTCCAACAGTAACCAAAAACAAAACAAATTAAGAATAGAAACAGCAAGGGTGTCAAACTGGATTTCTTTGAGGGCCAGATCAGCATTGTAGTTCTCCATTGATTTTCTTAACAGAGTCTTTACACCTCCTGCAGCATCCTGCTAGCCAAAACAGGATGTGGGGGGGCCACCTACACCCCCTGCGCCCCATTTTTGATCTGGACATCCTCCTGACGTGCACTGCTGGCTGAAACAAGGTGCAGAATGCTGCACACAGCCCCCGGTGCCCCCTTTCTTCTGGCAGAGTGCTGCAGGAGACCATCCAGTCTGAAAACAGGGCGCAGGTGGGCCGCACACAGACCCTGTGTCCCATTTTGGCTTCCAGAGGCACTGCGGGCCAGTCCTTTGCTATTTCCAGTCCAGCTCCATGGGCCAGATTTAAGCACCTTGAGTTTGACACCCCTGCCATAAAGTATAAGACATTTCCTAATTTGCTTCAGTAGCAATGCTTCCAGGAAAATAAGGACACCAAAGATTGCTTTCGGTACATTTGAAACTGGCCACGAATCTTAGTGTCATCTGTATAATGTACTTCCATACATTTTTTAAAAATAATTCTTTGGCATCATCTTTTATATTAAAGAATCCTGAAAATATAATTAATGCAATGCAAAAAAAGATTTAAAATTTCATTTCACCCTTTTTTAAAGAAATCTGATAATGTTCTTGATAAGCCAAAGGGGGGAAATGTCACCTAAAACGTATGTATTACAAATGAAACAAATCAGAAGAATTCCTGACTCTAGCACTGTTACAATGCTGTTTATAACTATTTTCATATGCTCTTATGTTAAGACATTACTCACTTTCTCCAGTGTGAAATATTTTCTTATCTGGGAAGGATGTTTCAAATTGCCCTTTTCAATTCTCGCGACATAATATTAAATATAGCTGGTATAGTTAAATCAATATGTCATGTGTAATTTTTGCCCTTCAGGTTCATGCAAAGAAAACCACACTGTATAAAATGAGCCTCTCCATAGGTATACTAATAAATAAATGTAGAATAAGTCAATTTATAATATGCCATATAGAAAATAAGTGTTGAAATAACTTAATGCTACCATTCATGTTTCTATTGATTTCAAAGACTAAGCATGATTTGGATATGTCAGATACATTTTTAAAAAACAAAGTTAAATACATTAATACAGTTAAATCTTTACTTTCTTCCATTATCCAAAAGAATAAAATGCATACAAATACCTCCTTTGATAGTCTTGCAATTCAGCTTTCTTAAATTTGTTAGAGTCAATTTGTAGACTGCTAAATCCTCATTTATCACAGTCACTGTTTACTTAACACGATGAGCCCCACATTGTATGGGCATGACAACACATGCTCCTCAGAGGTGGTATTCAGCAGGTTCTGACCAGTTCTGGAGAACTGATGTGGAAATTTTGAGTAGTTCAGAGCAGTGTTTTTCAACCACTGTGCCGCGGCACACTAGTGTGCCGTGACATAGTGTAAGGTGTGCCGTGGGAAAAACACTTTATATATAGTCAA